ATAAAGGCCATCGATAATGGGAGATGAAAGAGGTATGTCGGTGCATCACAGGGTTTGAGCGGCCGCAGCGGCAGTGCCGCCATATGCTGCGAGAAACTTCCAATCTTGAAAACCGGGGCACGACATGCCGGGAAAGGGCTTTCCCACCATTTGAACTCAACGCCTACATGGATCACGGAAAGCACAATACCGCACAAGGCTGCAATGAGCGCACCACCATGCGCAACCACCCCCAAGCGCCCCCCGAAAAACAGGCTAAAGAGGCCAAGACAGAATATGATGCGCCACGGAACGCGCTCAAGCAGGCACATTTCGCAGGGCGGAAGGCCGAAAGCCCGCTCAGCAAAAAGGGCCGCTCCGAGCGCACAAACACTCATAACGACGAGAAACGCCCCACAGGCACGGATGGAGATCATGTCAACTCACTTTCCGGAGCGCCGCAAGGAACTCTGCAGCCCAGCGAGACGCTGTATTGCGCTGCACCTCCACGTTCAGGAAACGCCATCTCTTTTTCCTTACATCCTTAGACATCGTCAACGCAAGATGAAGCGCCTCCGCAATCTGATCCGGGTCATAAGGATTAACCTGAAGCGCCGCCTTAAGTTCAGGTGCGGCACCCGCAAGTGTGGAAAGGATCAGAATACCGGGGTCGTTTTCATCTTGAGCGGCAACGTATTCCTTTGCGACGAGGTTCATTCCGTCCCTTAAAGGCGTGACAAGCGCGATATCTGCCCGGCGATGAAATCCGGCCAGAACGTGCCGGGGAACCGATTGAGTCAGAAAACGTACAGGCGTCCAGTCAAATGTGCCGAAGGTAGCGTTAACATGCCCACTCAACTCGTCCACTTCCCGCCTCAGATGTTGATACGCGTCCACTCCAGCGCGGGAAACCGGGGCAATTTGCAGCATGACAACTTTCGCCTCGTGCTCCGGATAGCGACGGATCAGTTTTTTCAAACCCTTTGATGCGCTCGGGGATACCTTTTGAATAATCGAGGCGATCAACACCTATGACCAGCTTTCGTCACCGAAGGCTGTCCATAA